TGCACAAAGGATTATTTTAGAAAAATGTACAGTGAATATATTTTAATATATGGAATAAGTTTATGATTAAATGCAAACTTCTCAATGATGTCTCAAATATTTTAATACTATGCCCAAAAGAAAAACAAAAACATAAGGATTTAGGAAAAATAAAGTCAAACACATTTAAAAATGAATTTCTGATGCAATGCATGATAGCTTCAAATGTTTTTTCTTTGAAAACATATGTGGGTGGCATTGGTATGCTGACTCCTGCCCCAAGTTGTCATCAACAAAATTTTCAAGTGACCACTTCCTTTCAGTTTGTTTAATTATTTTATGGTAAGCAGCCTCAATAGTAAGAATTAACACAAAATAAAATTAAAAGGAAAAATAGTTGGGAATGACTCAAAATGATTTATATAATTAATGAATGACAATTTTTAGAAACAGAAATTCAAAACAAGAGCTCAAAGGAAGGTATGTCTGAGTATAAGAAATATTACTCCCAAATTTGCTTTTTAAAATGTCATTTACTTTTATTACAACAGGTTTTTTAACACCAAAATTACACATGAAAGAAAACCCTGAGTCTGATGTCAGCAAGATGGCAGACTAGGACTTTCAAGCCCTTGTCCCTCCACAGAAAAATCAATTTGAACACAAACACGCACAAAAATACCTTCATAAGAGCTAAGCAAACAAGGTGAAATATAGCACAAAATAGGAAAAGATATAACACAGAACGTAGAAAGGACAGTTTTACTCTGCAGTCCGAGGCTGCAGATTTTAAAATACTCACATCACCCCTCCCCCAACTCCAGACAGTAAAGCCTGGAGAGACCCTCCACTTGGGAGGAGGAAAGAAAGGTGAGCACTAGACTTAACTCAGACCCCAATGCCAGGTCAGTTCCAGTAAAACGCAGGACCAGGCAGGACTCTTCAGCCCTAGACTCCCAGCCAGTACCCCAGGACTGACCCTGCAAATCCACCCTGGTACAAGGAAAATCTCACAGCCCCAGGTTCCAGACTGGCCCAGTAGATTTAGTCCCTGGGTCCACCCCAACCTATGCTGATCCCAGCAGTCACAGCATCCAAACCAACCCTAGTGCTAGACTGAACCCAGCAGCCTAAACTTCAGCTCCACCCCAGAGCCAGACCAGCCTCTACAGACTAAGGTTCCTGGCTAGCCTCTGTAGCCCCAGGCTCCAGGTCAGCTCCCAAGACCCAAGACTCCACGCCAGTACCCATAGACTGAACCTCTAGGCCTAACTTGGCACAATGCAAGATCCCACAGTCCCAGGTTCCAAAGCCAGCCCAGCAGACTCAGTCTCTGGACTCACCACATTGCCAGGCGGGCCCAGCGACCTTGTGCTCCAGACTATTCACAGCACAACGCTGGCCCCGACAACTTCAGGTTTCAGGCCTACCCAGGAACCAGGCAAGCCCCCAGAATCCCTAGTCATCAGGTCAGCACCCACAGACTCAGCCTCCATGCTGGCCCATGTGAATATAGGTTCCAGACATACCCAATGACAGGCCAGCCCATCTGGCCCCAGGCTCCAAGCATAACCCAGGATTCAGAGCCAGGTCAGCCAACACAATCCCATGCTTTAGACCCACCCAACCTCCCAGTCAACACCTCTGGCCCAGATCCCAGGCTGGCCACTGGGGCCCCAATATCCATATTAACCCCTGTGGTCCCACATTCCAGGAGACTCAGGGTCCAGGCCTGACTAACAGACCCAGGGTCCAGGCTCATCCCATTAAACTCTGGTGCCAAGCCAGCCCTCAGAAACTAAGATTCCAGGTCCATCCCTACAGAATCATGACCCAGGCCCACCCCTGCACACTCAGGCCCCAGGTCTGTCCCAGTGAACCAAAGAACCAGGCCCATCCCAGAACCTGTCTGGCCCCTGCAGATTCTGGCTTAAACCCACCCTAGAACCAGGTCAGCCCTTGTGGATCCAGGTTTCAGGCTAGCCCTAGTGGATACAGATTTCAGGCTTACCATGCAAACCCAGACTCCAAGCTCACTCCCATGGACCAAAACAACACATCTACCCAGTGGATCCAGGCTCCAAGCTCAAACATGAGGACCAAGATACCAGGCCCACCCACTTTCTGACTCTGCCTGAGGATTGTAGGAGAGAGCCTACCAATAGGCCAAACAGCCTGCCCAGAATCTCTGGACAGGCTGAATAGTGACTGGCTTTCTCAAATGAAGCCAGTCTACAAAGACTATAGTAATTTCCTACTTCTTCAAATGTGCAGACACCAACATAAAGCCACAAGCAACATAAAAAAACAAGGAGACATACCCCAGCAAAAGAAAATAATCTCCCAATAGCTGACCCCAAAGAAATGAAAATATATAAACTGCCTGACAAATAATTCACACTAATGGTTTTAAGGAAGCTCAGTCAGCTTCAAGAAAATACAGAGAAATAATTTAATGAAATCAGAAAAACAGTAAGTGTACAAAATGAGAAATTTAACAGAGAAATTTTTTAAAAAATCAAATTCTGGAGCTGAAAAATGAATGAAAAGAAAAATATAACAGAAAGCATTCACAACCAAATTGATCAAGCAAAACAAAAAAATTCTGTAAACTCAAATATACAGGTTATTAGAAAATACGCAGTCAGAGAAGAAATAGGAAGAAGACTGGAAAGGAATGAAGAAAGTTTACGGGACATATAGGATAGGATCAAAAGAACAAATATTCAAGTCATAGGAGCTAAAGAAGAAAAAAAGAGACAAAGGTGTAGAAAGTTTATTTAAAGAAATAATAGCTAAAAACTTTCCAAATTGAGGGAAAGATATATATATCCTGGTACAAAAAGGTCAAAAGTCTCCAATCAGATTTAATTCAAGCAAGACTATACCAAGGCATGTTACAATCAAACTGTCAAATATAAAGAACAAATGGAGGATTCTGAAAATATCAAGAGAAAAGCAAGTTATACACAAGAGACTTCCAATAAGACTAGCAGTAGATTTCATGGAGGAAACCTTACAGGCCAGAAAAGAGAAAGATGACATATTCCAAGTACTGAAAGACAATAACTGCCAACCAAGAATATTGTGAGTGGCAAAGCAGTCTTTGAGAAATAAAGAAAAGATAAAAATGTACCAAGACACAAAAAAGCCTTAGGGAGTTCATGACCACTAGACTTGTCTTACAAAAATGCTCAAGTGAAATCTTGATGCTTAAAGAAGAAGACACTAATGAATAACAAAAAAATACATATAAAAAGATAAAACTCACCAGTAACAGTAAGTAAACAGTCAAATACAGAATACTCTAATAATATCATGTTGTGGAAATGACTTATATCTTTAGTATGAAGATAATATATTGTTTAAATATCATAGCAACAATAATTTCTTTCTATACAATATAAAAAGATGTAAACAATCAACAGAGTAAAAAGACAGCCTACACAATGAGAAAAATATTTGCAAGCCCTATATTGAATAAGGGGTTAATATCCAAAATATATATGGAACTCAAACAACTCAATGGTAAGAACACTAATAACCTGATTTTAAAATGGGCAAAGGATCTCAAGAGACATTTCTCAAAAGAAGACATGCAAATAGCCACCAGATATATGAAAAACTGCCCAACATTCCTAATAATCAGAGAAATGCTGATTAAAACAATATTGAGATATCACGTCACACCTATTAGAAGGGCTATCAACAAAAACAGCAAGACCAGCCCCTACAGACTAAGGTTCCTGGCTAGGAATTGGATATTGGCGCCCCAGCAGCCCAAAAAGAAAAAAAGATCAGTATTAGAGGGGATGTGGAGAAAAGAGAACCCTTGCCCAGTGTTAGCAGTAATGTAAATCAGTGCAGCTATTATAGAAAAACACCATGAAGGTTCCTTGAAAAATTAAAAATAGAAATATATGATCCAGCAATCTCACTATTAGGCATAAATCCAAAGAAAATGAAATCGGTATATTGAAGAGCTATCTGCATCCCAATGTTCATTGCAGCAATAGCCAAGATATAGAATCAATATAAAGTGTCCATCAACAAATAAATGAAGAAAATGTGATATACACACACACACATACACACACATACACAATGAAATGTTATTCAGTTTTCAAAAAGAAGGAAATCTTGTCATTTAGTACAACATGGATGAACCTAGAGAACACTACGTTAAGTGAAATAAGCCAGGCACAGAAAGGCAAATACCACATGATCACACTTATATGTGGATTCCAAAAAAGGTGAACTTACAAAAGTAGAAAAATGGTGGTTATGAGGCCAGGCGACAAGGAGTGGAGTTGGGAGATACTGGTCAAAGGATACAACATTTAAGTTAGATGAGAGAGATCAGTTCTAGAGATCTATTGTACAGCATAGCAACTTTAGTTAATAACAATGGATTGTATTTCAAAAATCACTATGAGAGTACATTTTAAGTATTCTCATTACAAAAAAAATGATAAGTCTGTGAGGTAATTCATGTATCAAGCTCAATTTAGCCATTTGACAATGTGTACATATTTCAAAACATCACGTTGTACACATACAATTTTGTCCAGGTGCGGTGGCTCATGCCTGTAATCCTAATGCTTTGAGAAGTCAAGGCAGGAGGATCGCTTGAGGCCAACAGCTCAAGACCAGCCTGGGAAAAACAGTAAGATCCCATCTCTACCAAAAAAAAATTTAATTAGCTGGACGTGGTGGCACAGCTATAGTCCTGGCTACTCAGGAAGCTGAAATGGGAGGACTGCTTGATCCCAGTGAGCTCTGATCGTACCACTGCACTCCAGCTGGGCAAAAGAGAGACTCTATCTCTAGAAAAAAACAAAAAACAAAAGACAAAACAGAAAGACAAACCCTGCCTACCATGCATCACGTTTCATATTTGTTTCAAATGCAACCTCTTCCTAGAATATACCATTATTTTAACTAAAACCTGAAAACCTAGATTATATAAAATACAAAAACTATATTATCAATTGGGTTTATAAGCAATATCTCAATCCTACCTCTTTCTCACGTATTCGAGAGAGAAAATGATCATCATGGAAACTGCTGGATTTTCTCAGGCTAAATTTCGGTGTCATCTGCTGAATGAACAGGAGTTATTTAATACGTTTTGAGATCTGGTTTATCCTTAATCCCAAAGAAAACTCCTAAATCGCCTGTGGCCCACACCAAAATAGTACTAACATTGCAGGAAAAAATCACTTCCAAGTGATAAAATTCAATTATCTTTCCTAATGTAGATCTGCATTATTTTCTATAAATAACTTGGTGATTATTTTATTTTAAAATACCTGCCCCTAGAAAATGTCCAATGGATTTCTCACATACCAGAGAAACTGGGATAGGCTTCTGTCTCAGGTATCGAGGATTTTCTATCTGAAAATTTAAAAATAAAACAAAATAAGGATTTATTAATTTTGGAGTTTTAATTATTATTTAATAAAATATAGAATTAAGTTGCCATATGAAACATTTTCTAGATTTCTTAATATTTAATTCATTTTTAGAATGGGTATTGTATGATACATTTTTAGTGGTTCCCTACAAATAAAATATAATACATAAACTCCTTTGCATGCCAAAATGAACCTACATGATCCTCTCACTGCCTAACTGCCCACTCTCATCTTCCATTACCCTTCACCTCACATTTTATGCTACCAGGATCCACAATGACTTATATTGCCAGAACGTGGCAGATGTTCTCATGCCTGTCCACCTCTGAATTTCTCTGCCCAGCCCTCCAAACCCTATAAGCACATACCTATTTGTTCTTAGAGTCTCAATTTAATCACTGCACTCCCAGACATATTTGGTATATGAATCCTTAAACATACCTTTCCAATAGCAAAGAGAACACAAAATTCCTTTATGACTCTCCCTAAATCTCCCTTTCAGATTCATCTATCTCCACCATACCCCACATTCCCAGGACACCAGACAATTTGTTTTAACTTAAAAGCACTATACTGTCTCCCATGTCTGAGTTTTTGCAACCTGTAAGATCATTCCCCCAACTTCTACACATGGTTAACTTACTCAAGACTCACAGTTTAAAAATCATCTCCCCCAGGAAACTTAGTTCCTACTACTCCAGTAGTAACCCTGGATGCTGGTTCCCTTTTAAAATCTGGCATCTCCCTGTTTCGAAACAGTGTGGACTCTGAAAGCAGAGACCATGACTGCCCTGTTCACCACTCTATCCCTAACACCCAACTCAGCACCCAATGAATAATTCTTCGGAAAGAAGGAAGAAACACGAGGAGAGAAAGGAGTAACCTGTACCTGATTCCACCTTCTTATCAGCTCCTAAAGTATCCCATGCCCACTCTCTCATAGCCCTTATGTAATACTTTCAGTGTTTATCAGTATGTCTCCACATCTCTCTCTTTGAACAGAAGGAGTACAGGGATGACGTCTTCTAAGTTCTGTATCTCTGGTACCTAGCACAATATCTAATGTATAGTAGCCTTTCAATAAAGTATTTATTGCATGAATATACTATATGATAAAGTAGACACACTGATAGTTATCTCTACTATTTCACTCACAAATAAAGTAATAATTAAAAATCATTACCATGAAAGTCTAATTTCTTCATATCACAAACCCACAAATTACTACATGGATAATCTCACAAAGTACATGAACACTAACCATCGCTTCAACCTAGGGTAGCGGTTCTTACCCTTGTTAAATTAAGATTAACCTAAAGCTGCCTCGTCACATATTTTTAATTCAGCCTAATTTCTCCATACATGGTGAACTGTAACCTAACTGGATGTGTAAACAGACTACAGCTTACTCTTGTGCCACGCACTGAGTTTTGGCCAAAGGCAATCAATTGTTCAAACCAGATTCAAATAAGGCAAAAGCAGAGCTGTAACCAATCCTGCTGTTTCTGTACCTCGCTTCCATTTTTTGTACGTCACTATCCTTCTGTCCATAAATCTTCAATCATCCAGTAGTGCTGCAGCTTCTCTGAACCTATTATGATTCAGGGACTGCCTGATCCATGAATCATTCTTTGCTCACTAAACTCTGTTCAGTTTAATTTCTTTAAGGTTTTTCTTTTAACATCCTGGAGTGTACTATGAGGATCAAATGATAAACATTTCAAATACAAATTACTGGATTCTACTTCTCCAAAATCGCATTGTGTTTTCAAAAAGCTCCCCAAATTATTTATTATGGCTAATAATTCTTGAAAATGAACAATCCACACCCAATTTGACAATAAAGATAAGGGTGAATGAAGAATCAATTAATCAAAAAATGTAGAAGTCATAACATAATAGAATGTAATCAAGTAAAACTTAAAAAGAGTATAGCAATAGACAGGATATAAAGTGTAATTATTTTAGCATCTAGATTAAAGGAAATACACAAAACAATTTTCTTTCATGTGAATGCCAGTTTCTAAAAGGTAATGGCAACTGTATGAATTTAAATGTCTCTCCCCATCCTTCAAAGACGCAAACAGATTGATAAAGAGACCAAATAAAAATGCCCATCATCCATGACTACATCATAAAAAGGAGAAAGAGAATACAAATCCCTGGATTAACACGTAGGTGGCTAAATAAAGACACCAAATCAGCAGAATTAGATCCTGAGCCAAACCAGAGTGGTAGCACGGGGGAAAAAAAGAAAGTACCTCAGGGTCCTAGTAGTGGTGGAACTAAATATCATCAAACAATGACCTGTCAAAGAAGAGTGGCCTACCTTAAGCAGGCCACACAAAAAAACTTAATGGCTCAAAGTGCCAGAGATGGGCACAAAAGGAGGAGCTTGGAAACTACAAAGAAACCAGAAAGGCAGTTCTAGGAAGGAATCACTTCTGAGATAGAGAGAAGCACCTTTGAAGGAAGGCTGTTCATGATAAAGGGAAAGAAAAAAGCAGCTGAAGATAAGGGCCCTACAGAAACAAGACAGAATCAACGACCAAAAGAAGACAAGCCATGGCCGGGCTCTGTGGCTCTCGCCTATAATCTCAGCATTTCAGGAGGCCAAGGCAGGCAGATTACCTGAGGTCAGGAGTTCAAGATCAGCCTGGCCAACATGGTGAAACCCTGTCTCTACTAAAAATATAAAACTTAGCAGGGCATAGTGGCAGGTGACTGTAATCTCAGCTATTCAGGAGGCTGAAGCAGGAGGATCTCTTGAACCCAGGAGGCGGAGGCTGTAGTGAGCTGAGATCACGCCACTGCACTCCAGCCTGGGTGACAAGAGCGAAACTCCATCTCAAAAAAAAAGAAGACAAGCCAGGCTAACAACCACAAAAGGCACCATTTGTTAAAGAAATTAAACTTCAGTGTAGCAGAGGAGGAAATAAAGTAATAAACTGTCACTATAGTTACCTTTTTTCTCTTGTACAACTCTTTTTTTTTAAGATTAACTAATTAATTAATTATTTTGAGACGGAGTCTCGCTCTGTCGCCCAGGCTGGAGTGCAGTGGTGTGATCTGGGCTCACTGCAAGCTCTGGCTCCCAGGTTTACACCATTCTCCTGCCTCAGCCTCCCAAGTAGCTGGGACTACAAGGGACTGCCACCAAGAAATAAAGTAAGCCACCCACTACCACCTCCCACACGGTCACTGGCTATTACTTGTTCAGAAAAATCTAATAGATAATCATGAACAGAAAAAGAATCCAATATCCATAAAAACTTACTATATAAAATAGAAAAATCAAAATCAAGACCTGCCAGCAGAAGGAAACACTTTTTTAAAAAGCTATAAATACAGGAAAACAGTAATACAGCCTTCCTTTTCATTCCCATGTCTCCCCACTCTCATACATCAGGGTTTTTGTGCAACCCACTTAAAGTAGGACACTCCCCTACATGTCAATACTTCATAATATTTTTGTTCCACCACCACTAGGACAACACATATTCAAATATAACTTTTAAATAACTTCAGGCATAAAAATACTACAAATCAAAATAAAGACAAAAATAGAAAGATCTTAAATAGGAGGTGACTAGATTCAGGAAAAAAAAATATGGAACAGTAACACAAAAATCATCCAAGAAATGAAGACTAAATTAAGAGTTGTACAAGAAAGAGGCTGGGCGCGGTGGCTCACACCTGCAAACCCAGCACTTTGGGAGGCCGAGGCAGGCAGATCACAAGGTCGAGATCTAGACCATCCTGGCTAACACGGTGAAACCCTGTCTCTACTAAATATGCAAAAAAATTAGCCGGGAGTGGTGGCAGGCCCCTGTAGTCCCAGCTACTCAGGAGGCTGAGGCAGGAGAATGGCGTGAACCCAGGAAGCAGAGCTTGCAGTGAGCCGAGATCACGCCACTGCACTCCAGCCTGGGTGACAGAGCGAGACTCTATCTCAAAAAAAAAAAAAAAAAAAAAAAAAAATTCCACAACCATTCATGATTTTTTAAAATATCCTGACAAAATAGAGACATTCTTAATTTGATAAATGGAACTTACTTAAAAAACTGTAAGTAAGAAAAAAACTACAAGTATGAAAAACCGGCCAGGTGCAGTGGCTCACACCTGTAATCCCAACACTTTGGGAGGCTGAGCTGGGCGGATCACCTGAGGTCAGGAGATCGAGACCAGACCGGCTAACATGGTAAAACCCTGTTTCTCCTAAAAACACAAAAAATTAGCCAGGCATGGTGGTGCATACCTGTAATCCCAGCTGCTCAGGAGGCCGAGGTAGGAGAACTGCTTGAACCCAGGAGGTAAAGGTTGCAGTGGACCGAGATAGTGCCATTGCACTGAGTGAATAAGAGTGAAATTCGATCTCAAAAAAAAAAAAAAAAAAACATGAAAAACTGAAAGCATTCCCTTTAAGATTGGGAACAATACAATGAGTACCACCCACTATGAATATGCTCCTATTCGACAATGTAGTAGAATCCTAAACAGCATTTTTTTAAAAAGAAGAAAAAGGAGGAGGGTAGAAAGAGAGAAGAGGGTACAAGATTAGGAGTAAAAACTAGAACACCTCATCATTTGCAGATACCTCTCTACATAGAACTCTATGAGTGAATAAATAAACAAATAAATGATAGAACTAATAAGAGTTTGGCAAAGTTGCCAGATGCCAAATCAACATATAAAAGTCAACTGCGATCAAAGAGGCAAAGCAAAATGTTCAAATAGAAGCCTTTAGCAATTTTCCCCACAGCACGAACACCAAATTGAACAACTATTCACATAAAAAAGCACCTTCATAAGAAGGAAAAATCAGGTTAGTGATCACAGCACCTGGTTTTAGCATATTAAGGAATGAGATGCCAAAGAAGGTAGGAAAGACAGTCTTAAATCGCCGACATCACCCTTCTCCTATCCCCCAGCAGTGGCTACGCGGCATGAAGAGAGAATCTGTGTATTTGGGGAAGGGAG